GAGAGGGGACCTACCTTCCTGGATCGCTAGACAGAAAATGCCAGCACCGGCCGCTCGCCGGAGNAGGATGGAATGAGAGCGGCGTTGAAGAGAGAGAGAGAGAGAGAGAGAGAGAGAGAGAGAGAGAGAGAGAGAGAGATAGGAGAGAAAATCGTTATAGAAGAGAGAGAGAAATGATTATGTATGTTAAAGTTTCTTAACTAATGCAGGAGAGCAATTTCTTTTAGTTTTACCTATAGTTCTTAGCTTGCCTAGGTTTCTAAAGTAATTCAAAGGTAATAAAAGAAAGTATTCACTCAATCATTGTTAGTGTTATATACACATAGCGGCAACAACATATTACGTAAAGAAAAAGCGATAAGGGAAAGGAAACTGGACTCGTGGTTTGGGCCTGAAGAATGTTAGGCCAAACAACAACGAAAACCAGCAGCATCTTTAGGTGACTCCAAGTTCAGACTAAGAATTTTGGGTCTGAGTTCTTTAAGAACTCGGCAGGCCCAACTCAAATTCATGAACAAAGAAAAAAAAAGAGAAGGTCATTAGATACATGGCCCAATTCAACATTTAAACACAAGTAATATCAGTATATGCCTAAGATAAAACTGTAACAAATACTGGTAATTAAGAATGCAATAAAATTAATGTAAGGCCAAAGAGAGAAAGCAAATTGGCAGTGAGGCATTTCTTTCATTTAGCACTAACCCTAAAGAGATTAATAAGTGTCAATGGTCAAAATCTTAAGGTAAAATTCCATTCATGGCCAAGACACTCTTGGATCCCTGGCACTTCAGAGTTCACAAGGATCTCGGAAACCCCGAGCTGTGCTTGTATCAGGGAGGGTATCTCAACCATAAACTAAATCTTACTCTTAAATACCCTTAACCCCTCACACTTACTCTTCCCTATAGGTTTAAGAGCCAATTAAGTGCTCACTGTAGTTCCGAGATAGTAACAATAACACAAAGGTATGCACACTATTCACAGAAACTATACAGAGTACTCCCATGAATATGAGATAGCAGATGACACTTTAAGGATCATATAAGAATAGTACATTTTCAACAACTACCAATATGCAGAAGGATGTTCAAAGAAAACCATTGCACGTGCAAGCAAAGGGACCACAGTAGACTATTTTATAAGTCCAAGTATTAAGTCATGTGATTAGGGAATAATAAGATACACTCTCTTGTTGATAAGTTCAAGTTTACAAGAATCCTCACTCATAGTACCTTAATAGCCTTTCAGACTATGTTCAAATTAACTAGGGCTCATGCATAGACTAAATATTAACTTCTATTAGATGTATGGGTTAACAGCTTCATATGGAATATCTAAAGGGCATTGGCAATGGTACTTAAACAAACAAGTTGGGCTCGACTTTAATAGATGATCACTTTCTCCTTAAAAGATTCCTAATCTCATATTCAAACTAAGTTCATTGAGAGTTAAGGCAAAATATTATACTCAAAGAAGGGCAAGTAAACATCATATGTTTCTTTTAAGTCCATAAAAGAATCACAGTTAATTTATTCAAGCTTAGCAAGGTTCAATTTCCCTTGTGTAACCATACAACATGAGAGCACAAACATAAGTATGGAAGATAAACAAAGGCCTGTTTCAAAACAAGAAGAATTGCAGAACCCTTAGGAGATATACAGACACACACATGAGACATTCCTAAAGAGTGCAAGATGACAACATGGTAAAGTATAGAATCAGACCAACATGCTAATTACAGGGGTTCAGAACAATAGATTGTTTCATGCACAGTTATAGTAGTAGGATTGTGAGTCCATTTAAATAGGTTCAATAGATTAGTACAAACATGATTAAAGTTCTAGTTTCATATGTATCAGCAACATAGTATACCCAGAAGAGAAGATGCACAAATATAACAGCTATCAAACTCTTGAGGATAATCAAAGGCACATCTTAGTCTAGACTGGCAGAAAACATATGAAATCAATTGCAGAGATTTATTAAAGCTTAGTTAAGTTATATTCATATACATACTTACACATTGAAGCTATTAGGTATGACCAAACAGTCATGGAGGTTAACAGAAACTCATTACAATGCTCGTTTAATAGCTACAGAATCACATAAAACACATTGGAAGGGAGAAAGCAACCCAAACAACTTAAACTGATATATTCCAACTGAGTGACAGCCTGTAGTTAACCTTAAGTGTTCATATCCTATTTTCAGCAATGGTTTATCAGATAGGCAACCTTAAGTACATGATGCAAAATCAACAAGTAACACTAATTAAGGATCAGTATGGTAAGCATGAGAACCGTAGCAAAGTCATCAGAAAAGTTTAAGGTAAAAAATAGATGTACAAAATCAGTAAGGTTCTTTGTTAATCACACATTACATATTCATTAAGGTTACAAAGTGGTCGATTAGTATTGGTTTAGTTTCTGATTATAAAGGAAAACAGTACTAAACATAATGTCGATTGTGAACTAATAATAACACATTATGAGCAAAGATAATCAACTATAAACTAATAACAACAAATCATGAGCAAAGCTAATTAACATAAGATAACAGAGTAGGCATAATTTTAACTAAACAGTCAAAGGAGAAGAAGGGTCAAAGCTCACTGACCTTCCTTTGAGGAGCAAGCCAAGCAAGGATTTTTTTAGTCGTTTAGGAATAAATAACTCAAATTCCGAACAGTGTAGATCTCGGAATCATAAAGAAATCAGGAGCTAGTTAGAAAACCCTATCTTAATTTTTACTGCTCAAAACTAAAATTGAAATTTTCTTTATTTTGCGAAGTGATTTCGTGTGTGTGTCTTGTGTTAGGTCAATTAGGTGAGAGAATTAAAAATCCCATTTTATAGTAGCATTTAATGCCTTAGGTTCAACAGAAATCAAACTCGGTAGTGGAGTGTGACGAAGGGGTAGTGATGTGAGCATAATCGGGTAAAAATCTAAGGAGACGGAGGGAAATCATTAGGGATTTTACCCGAGAGGGGGAAAGTCGACTGTTGAAGGAAAACTCTATTGGGTAAGAGCCTCAATTTACAGAGGTCGCTTCAATTGACCTCTGGACCAAGAATAAATATGATAGCACTGGGAGACGGCCATGTATGCCACTAATTTAACAAAACATAGAAGATTTCTAAAGACTTGAACTTGTATCGTTTGTTCTTTTTTTTTTTTTTTTTTGCAAATATACTACTAGGTTATTCACCTAGTAGCTATTATATTTAATAATTCCCAAATAGGGTCAAACTTATAATTGTTCAAATAAATCACAACAAAAATAATAACAAGAAAGCTATTGGCTACTGTTACCAAATACAATGTAGGAGTAGCGTAATGGAAGATGAAAAGTACAAAGGTCGTAATGTGAAGCGTCCAAATGCTACCGAGTCTAGTGAATTCATACACCTCTTGCAAACAAGTTGTTGTAGCACCTACAAAGCTCTCACCAGGCGCCAATAGTTGCAATCCAAGGGAGTAGGTATGTATAAATCCACATGTTGTAAAGCAAATTATTTTGGACATCTTCTCATTGGTGCTGAATATTTCCAACAATATTGTTGGTACAGAATACTTTCATTTGACTTTTCTTTAGTTGAGATCAATTTTACTGTGGTACATTTTGAATAATAACCCAGCTACGTTGCAATGGCTCTTTTCCAGAAAGAATTTGAAGTGCCATAAGTTTTCCAGCACATCCAGTGATTGATATCCATCCCTATTTGCCAGTATAAAAATATCAGGTCGAACAGTCCCATGAAGTTGCTGAGCAGTCCAGTTGTGTAGAGCAAAGTGATTTTTGCATATGTTGCAAATAGAGATCTTCCCTTCAAAACCAAATGAGCAGTATTTGTTGTTTTAATTGTTCAAGCACTGCTCCAGTTATAGTGTCTTTTGACCTTGTGCTACAAATGTATTCTAACAGGCTGGCTGGTCGATGTATTATTGTTGTATATTGTCGAATGATCCCCAGATTGAGCATGATAACATGCTAATACTACTGGGAGATAATACGACAGCACACAAGCATTTAATACATCCTAACTTGGCATAGACAGAGCATGTGTATGACAGCAGAAGTTGTGCTTGAAATTCATGTGCTATGTGTTGTTGTTGATGTATGGACAGCAGTAAGATAACCGTTGTAGAAAAACTAGAAGAATTATATTTGTGGAGAGCCAACCATATACAGTTGGAGTCCTATTTTTTGCCAAATGTAATCTTCTCTCCCAGGTTAATGAACTAAGCTTGCTGGTATTGTTTTGTTGAATTAGCAGAAACTGTGCACTCATTGTCAGTCACAAGAAGTGTAGTGTAATACAGGTACTTTAACTCTTATCCTCATGTTGGGAGTATGAGTCTCATCTAAGTTGATTATTCTCCTACCTGTACTTGGTAATTCATTAAAAGAGTTAAAGGTTATTGTACCTGCAAAAGAGAAAGCCAAGTTAGTTAAATAGTCTGCCAGTGTATTGCCCTCCCTGAGTACATGTTGAAAAATAACATTGAAGTTGTCCTTCAGTCCTTTGATCCTCTTCATCTCCTTTGTTATGCACCATGGTGTTTCCCATTGACCTTCTACTATTCTTTTCATCCCAAGTGAATCAGTCTTTATTATAAGTGGATAAATCTGTTGGGTAACACAAAAGGTCAGACCTGCTGCAATTGTTTTTGCTTCTGCAATCATATTAGTGGTGTCTTCAATCTTTTTTGCCTTAGCAAAGATCAGGTCACCTCTGCAGTCCCTCACACAAAAACCATAGGAGCTTTGTCCAGGATTGCCTTTTGCTGCTCCGTCAGTATTGCATTTGAACCATCCTTCATCAGGTGAATGCCAAGATACTCTCTTGGTAACAACATATGGTTTGTATCCTTCCAGAAAAGCAATCATATCTGGCAATAAGGGTGGAATGTTTGCTAGCCAAGGATATATCATTATTGCTAAGTTGTGCAATGTCTTATTCACCTCATGAGTTACCCTACTATAAGTGGTTGTTCCTTCATGCTTCATTGTGTTTCTTCTCTTCCAAAGCTCCCAGGTTATCACTGTTGGAGCTACCTGGTATAAAGGTTTCAGTTTTGGACAGCATTTAACATTCCACCAGGTTCTTATAGCTTGTTGTACCTAAACTAATTTATCAATTATACCTGCTGCCTGTCCAAAAAATCTCCACACTCTGTTTGCTGTAGAACTTGTTAAGAAAAGATGTTGAATAGAGTCTGCCTCAGGTTGAAGACAACACCAACATTTTGATACCACCATGTAGCCATTCTTTCTCCACATGTCATATGTTGGAACTTTTCCTTTCCATAGTCGCCAAAGAAAGAAAGAAATTTTGAAGGGTAGACCTTTAGTCCGCAGTAGTTTATATTCATGTTTTGGATGTGCTCTGTGCCTCATTAATTGCCAAGCAGTAGTTACTGAGAACCTCCCTGAAGCAGTAGGCATCCATTTAGGAGTGTCACAACCTTCATATGTATTTTCAAAATGAAGCTCCTGACTGATGTATGCTGCAATCTCTGCTGGAAAGTTATTCTCCAGCATCTGATAATTCCAGTCATACCCTTCTCTTAGCTCAATTACCTCCTGAAGGTTTTCATTGGTGTCAAAGTCTGATGGCACAGCATGATACAAAGCACCTAGACCGGTCCAGTTTTCATGCCAAATGTTGGTGGTGCCTCTGTTCAATTCCCATAGTATTTCATGTTCTATTTCTTCCCTTGCCTCCAACATTTTCCTCCAAACATGTGAGCCTTCCCTAAATTGGACAGTAGTGGGGAGTTCCTTTTTGCAGTACTTATTCCACATGAAGTTGGCCCAAAGAGTTTTTGTTGTCCTGAAGTTCCACCAAAGTCTGGAAAAATAATGCTCTTGAGACATCAAAAAGTGATGTGAATCCCAAACCACCTTCCTCCTTTGGCAAGCACAGGTTCTGCCATTTGCTCCAATGCCTACTTCTGCCATTATCTTTGTTGCTCCAAAAGAACCTGGAAAATGTCTTGTGTAAGTGTTCCAAGATGTTGTCAGGTGGATCAAACACAGATAGTATGTGTGTTGGCATGCTTTGTAGGACTGTTGAAATCAGTGTAGCTTTACCTCCATAAGAAAGTAGTTAACCCTTCCATGAGTGTAGCTGGTTTTTGACCTTTTAAATAAGGTCATTGTAATATTCCTTTCTTCTTGTTTTGTAGAAGATTGGGCAGCCAAGATATGTGAAAGGGAATTCTCCTTTGGTGAAACCAGTGATATGTCCCACATTACTAAACATATCTACAGTAAAATTTGCATGCATGTAGTATGAGGTTTTTGCCTTGTTGATCAGTTGGCTAGAAGTCTGCTCATATTTGGACTGAACCTCCACTATCTTCTGTAGAGAGTAAGGATCAGCAGATGCAAAGATAATAGTGTCATCAACATATGCTAAGTGATTCAATGGCTCAGTCCATTTAGGCATACCATATCCTTTGAAATGCTTGTCTTCAAATAGTTTGTTTAGTGATCTGGAAAGAATTTCTGCTGATAGTATAAACAATACTGGAGATAGAGGGTCACCTTATTTGACACCTCTTGTTGAGTGGAAAAATTTCGAAGCCTAACCATTAATCAGAATTGAGTACCAATTGTTTGACAGAAGATTCCACACCATATTGATGAAACATTCAGCAAATCCCATCTTCCTCAGAACATGCATCAAATACTTCCAAGAAACTTTATCATATGACTTTGCCATGTCAAGTTTTATAACTACATTAGTAGGTTTACCCCTCATTCTAATGTCAGTTATAATTTCCCGAGTTAACAAAATATTTTCAAATATGCTTCTCCCCTTGACAAAGCCTGACTGATTTGAGGAGATCAAGTATGGCAGTATCATTTCCAGCCTATTATAAACCACGCTAGAGATTACTTTGTTGATGAAGTTGCTAAGACTTATAGGTCTGAGGTCTAAAAATGTTTGCACAATTATCTTTTTTGGCAACAGAACAAGATTTGTATGAGTTATGGATTTAGGCAAAGGACTTCCTCCATAAAACAATTTCAGCATGTTGTATCTAATATATCCCAGCAGACCTAAAAGAATAAGCCAGTAAAGCCATCTGGACAACTTGAACTTTCCCCACTTAAAGCAAAACTAGCTGCTTTGACCTCCTCTTTTGTAGGGATTCTACAGAGCTCTAAGTTTTGATCAGCAGTTACCATGGTAGGAACATTGTCTAAAAGTTCAAAGTCAGTAGGCTCCTCCTGTTGTGTGAATTGATTTTGGTAGTATTCCACTGCAACAGTAGCTATACATTCATGTGAATCAATCTATGAACCATCATTATTCTGAATACTTTTCAGCTGGAGCTTTTGCATTTTACCATTAACATGGTTGTGGAAGAATCTTATGTTTCTGTCACCTTCTGCAAACCAGGTCATTCCTGCTTTTTGTTTTTAAAATTATTCCTCAATGCTCAGATATCTCTTTAGCTCAGCTTGTGCTTTCTGAAGAACAATTCTATTTTTCACTGTTGGTTACTCTTCAAATAGCAATTCCATTATTCTGACCACATCTTCCCTTAAAGCCAGTTGTTTGAAAATATCCTCAGAAGTAAGCTTGCTCCACTTTGAGAGAGCAACCTTAGTTCTTTTTAGTTTCTTTTTTAACATCAAGAAGGAGTCACCTATGAAATCAAATATCTAATTTTGTCTGACTACTTCCATAAAGGTTTCAATTTTTGTCTAGAAATTCAAAAACTTGAATGGTTTGGCTACTGAGTGGTCTACTCTCCATAACTCATTAGTAGAGGGGCATGGTCGGAGCCTGTTCTGATGTGGTGTTCAACTTCTGTAGTAGGGAATAATGTCTGGAATGGTAAGTTGACAAAGATTCTGTCTAATCTTTTGAAGATGCACTCTGAGTTTGACCTCCCATTCCACCAGGTGAATGGGCTCCCTTTATATCCCATGTCAAACAAGCCATAGGAGTTTACACATAATGCAAAATCTTCATAATCTGGAGGGTACACTGGAAGTCCTCCAATGTTGTCTTCTTCATTAAGAACAATATTAAAATCCCCTCCGACCACCCAAGGTAACTCCATGTCACTAGAAAGGTAGTATAGATTATCCCATAACTCTAATCTATCCAATGATGAACACTTTGCATATACAAAGGTCATGATGATGTGCTTACAAAGATGTTGATGGTAAACCATGATGGTAAGTTGCTGCTCAGTATCAATGATCACATCCCATTGAATCACAACATCAAGAAAGAGCCATATCTTGCCATTGACATTGGATATTGTTGTTTTCATGCCTAGTCTACTCCTGTATTTTTGAATAAACCTCTGCTTTTGGAATAGCTCCATGAGTGCTATAATGAATAACTCATGTTCCTTGTGGAAATTGATGACTCTCTCAAAGGCCTGCTGAGTCTTAACATGCCTTATGTTCCAGATGAGTGTCTTAATTATCATCTAGTGGTGGATGCTACCCTCTTGGGCAGTATTCTTGTAGGTGGTTTTTGTTCCTTGTGTTGAGTTTGCTTATTTCCTTTCTTACCATGTTTAGCTGCAATCCTAGGTGACAAATCTCCTTCCCTTGCCGCTACCTTGAAGTTACCATCTGTAGATTCTTCTTCCCCTTCTTCTTCTAATTTTTCATTAGTTCCCAAAGCATTATGAATTTCCATAGACAATTTCTTATGAGTAATAATGCCATGCATAAGCTGATTAGGAGATTTTAGTGAAAGCTTGATTTGAATCTGCAATGGAGATCCAGTGGATGATGCAATTGCCATAGGCCATGTTTCCATTGGATTTGGTCCCTAGCAATTATGGTTGTCCCCATCTGCTCATACACCATTGTTGGATCCTTTCCATCTACATTTTGATAGTCTAACCTCAGTATATGTTGATCTGTCTCTGTATCCTCCTTACTGATTTATTCCTTGTCTTATACTTTATTCATTGCACCCTCAACATTGTCAATTAACTTCCTAGTTTTGTTGCTGTCTAAGTAATCCCTGGAAACCTCTGTATTAACCTTTGCCAATTTTGAGTTAACCCTCTGATCATTGACTCCCATGCTTGAATGTGCCTCTAAACTTTCTTCATCTTTCCTCAGTTGTATGGAACCTGTAGTTTTTCCATTAGACTTAGGTGATTCCTCAAATGTCTGAGATGGTATTTCCTGACATGAGTGGTTGAGGGTCACATTAAGAATTTCCTTATGCTTTCCAAAGCTCCTTTGAACCCATTCAATGGTTGTTTCTTTTGTTCCTGGGGCATTCTTTCTTGTATCAATGGATGTAGGGATCCTGATCTTCTCTGCATCTTTAGCATTGGGATTGGAGGTTTCATCAGCTGTCAAATATTGGTTCTCTTGATTCCTCCTAGTCTTCTTGCACTGTTGTTCTTTTTTCCTTGAATTGCCCTCACTAACAGATTCAGAGGTTACCTCATTGACAATCTCAGCATCTTCAATTGTCTTAGTGCATGTTTGATTTGCAGCAATGGATGGTGTGTTTTCCATTCTGTTGTAACCTTTCAACTGAACTGAATCATGACCTGCCTGAGCAGATACTATTTCATTAGGATTCCCTGTCTCATAAGGTAGCTCCTGGACAATCCCCTTTCCTCCATTACTGATAGAATTACTATCAGCAATATTATGAATTCCTTCTTGAACAACCTCCAGTGGCATTAATGTAGCTGGTTGTGTTTTGCTCATAACAACTGATGTCTAGGCTGGTCTGGGAACCTGTGAGCCAAGTTCATGTTCATGTGGCTGTTGTGGTGGGAGCTTGCTAGATGGCATACCTGACTGATTGGTGGTTTCTGCTGCATTCTCATTTTTTGAATTCCGCAGTATCTGAACCTTTGGTGTTTTAGCAATTTATAAAGGCTATTGTTTCTGAGGTTTATGGTGAGGTGTCTGTCTTTGCTGAACTGTAACATGCTGTTGTTGTACAATTGAGTTAACCATCTGTTGTTGGGCTAGTTCTGCATTAGATATTCCGGTAGCTTTCATTTTCTGCTTCTCATCATGTTTGGCTTTATCTGGGCATGCATGGATTGTGTGTTCAAGGTGTCTACAATAGGTGTAGTATTCAGGTAGGCTCTCATATTGTATTTCCAGCCATTGTCCATCACCATTTTCATCTTGGTTTTCGTCATAACCTAGCCAAACATGTTGAGGCCTTTCCTTGGTTAAATCAATCTGCATTTTCACCTAAGAAACACTGCCTGTTGTTTTTTGGAATGAAGATAGATCAAGGAATAATGCTTTTCCAACATGAAACAACAATGGTTTGAGGATTTCCATGTATAATGGTGCCAGGGCATTTCAGGGATGATAATCCAAACTGGTACTATTAGAGAATCTTCATTAGGATTGAAAAGAGATGTCCAAGCTTCAAGTTTTATCATTTAGCCTTGAATGTACATGAATTGTTTATTCCACACTGTTGCATAATCATATTCATTGTCTAGATTAATGTAGACAGTCTTAGAATTGAAGTGAGCAATCTTAACTCCACCCCTGAGTTCAGTTTGAGTCACGAAGCTTCTTCTAATTACTTCCATTCTAGGCATAGAGCTACCAAATTTCCCAACCACAATGTTCTTACATCTTGCTGCCATAGTGCCCATATAATCCTCATTTGTAAAAATAATTGCAGGTCTGCCTTGTTTGGTTGTTAGCTTTGGTGGGATGAACTGAATGGGAGTTCTCTCTTCTTTGAATCTGGCCCTGATTTTTGTGGCATAAGAATGGGTGACTGTATGGGGGGAGGTTCAGTTGTGTTTGTGAGTTTTTGGAGTTGTTCCTTGGTTCCTGCTGAAACCTATGGGTTGATGTTAATTGGATTGTGTATTGTGCTAGAAGATGGAATTTGTGGTGAATGGCTTGTTTGATTAGCTCTTCTGGTAGGTCGTTCAAAGTTGGCAGTAAGCATAGGCTGGTTTCTTCTGGGAATGGCAGGGAAATTATTGAGCTGCTGTAGGATAGTTTTGGATGCGAGTATCCTATTTTTGGCATTCTGTGCCCCTACTTGCTCTGTAACCTTATCAACCATACCAACATTGTCAATTTTGGCACAGTATGTTCACCTTGGATCACCCCATCAACATTTTTCTGCCCAGTCACTATCGCTGTAAGTGACTGCCCATGGTCACCCTCATTTTTCGTATGTTCTTGTAAATTCTCTTGACGACTAATCTCAACATGACTTTGTGAAGCACGGCCATTCAGTTGTTCATTAAAATTGACATCAAAACTGACCCCGGTATTTCATCGAATAGATGATATGTGCGATTTTATGTAAACTCTATTCTGCAAAGTTGTAACTAATTGCTCGTCGTAGTTGTTGTTTGAAGGGTCGGGATCATTGTCCAAATCAATTGGAGTGGCTTAGCATTGGTTATGACCAATTTGGATACCTGTAACTCCTCGCGTGACAATCAGTTGTTTGTCGATATTGTTCCCCTGTTATGAATTACAAACTGATGTTGTGATATTGTCTGATGCTCTTTTAGTTGGTTGTAAATGGTGTGTTGAACAATCTCCATGGCTTTGAATCAGTCGACTTAACCCAAAAACGTTTCAATGTATCTCAGCTATGTCCTGGCAATTTTTTGGTGAACACACAGTTCCACTATTGTTGATTCGTTCAGTAGATGGGGAAGAAATGATAGAGTCGCCTACCTGGGTTATGTGCGTAGTGTGTAGACGCAATTGTTGATACTGGTCCGGTGGTTTTTCACCACCGAACGAGGGAACGGTGGCCATTTTTGTCCATTTAGTTATTGTTCCTCTTTGTCAGCTCTCTAGAGAGCATTTTTGGCAGCGGTTTGTCGCCTCTCTAAAGTTTTTCATCGTTTGGTTTATGGTTTCGGATTTGGAGATTTAAATTTGAGAGATGAAATGGGATGAAACTGGCGAGATTTGCGGATTCAGGAGGTAAAGGGGATGATTTCATGGGTGATTTGAGACCTTGCACGAATTTGTGCTGGGTTTTCTTGATTGATTAGGGTGATGGGAGTTGAGAGAATAGAGAGGAAAGGGGAAAGAAGGGGCGGTTGGTCTGGATATAAATGATTTAGGGTTTAGGTAATTGCGTTTGGTCTTCCAGGGTTAAGAATAAGAGATGGAACGGGAACTGTTAGATCCTTTGATTAACGTCTCCGATTATTTGAAGATGTAGAATTAGTAAAAGGTTCTCATCATAAATAATGGTGGTCGTTGGATTCTTGTAATCCAACGGTTGAAATAAAATCTGATATGGGTTTTAAAATAAGGAGAAAAGTGAGAATAAATCTAGTCCGTTGAAAGTATGGATCGACGGTCAAGATTAAGTGTGTTTGTTTTATGAGTGAGTGGGATGGGTGGCATGGCGATCTTAGATTGGCTTAGTGAGAGTGACGCGGATTGCCAACAGGGATTGAAGGGTTGTTTCGACTAGATCAGATTTTTCTCGGGCTTGGGTATTAGGCTGTTATTAGTTTAAGAAATAGCCATCTTGTGTTTAATTACACAATCGCAAATATAGCCATTTTGTCTTTATCTTTTTAAAGATTAATTTAATTAAACTTAAATGATCCCAATAAAATTCAATAGAAATTATAATTGTCAAATACACTACTAATTACTGTAGTTAATTAATTAGTTTACTTAGATATCTTATTTTTCTATTTACTACACTAATTATTTTTTGAAATAATACGCTATGCTGCCAAACATTGAGAAATAACTTTATTGAATTAATTATATACCTATGTGATGAATATGAAAGTCATTTTAATAGTTTAAAAATGGTAAAATAGTAAGGATAACTTATGTAGTTACTAAATAACTAATTAACACCATTAATTATTTAAAAATAGGTGTTATTAATTAGAAAATATCTTTAACATATTTATTGAGAATTAACAAATGTAAAGAAATTAATTATTAAAATGAGGGTCAAAATTGGTCGTCAATAGCTGCCTCTCTTTGACCGGAGACGATGAAAGAGCTTTCGGGCAAAGAAATCGAACCATGGTCAATTTTCTCCCGACATTAGGCATACATTGCAGGAATGACATATGAATTTAAGGAAGATTATGAGTTATAGAATTAGGGAAAGAGTTAAGGAAAATTTCGGGAGAATTTTGAAGAGTTGGGACTGAATTCCGGCTTTGAATTGCTTACATACCTCGGGTTTAACCAGGATCAGGCCTCATGTAGTTTTGGAGTGACGATTTGGAGAGGGTGATGCTCGTAGAAGTTGCCCCAGTATCGCATTGTGGCGATACTAAGAGACGGAATATTTGGTACCCATGATAGCTCTAAATTGCGGCTTGATTCGAAAGATTTGATGAATTAGAGT